AATTCTGAATAAAATTTGCAAGATATATATTTAAGATATATATTTTTAGATTATATTTGTATATTTAAATACACACAAATATTTAAAAAAAATAAATAACTATTTCCAAACGAATGCTGTGTGCAGCCCTCGCACATGTGCTGACTGCTGTCATAGATACAATGTTGGGACTTGTATCTTTGCATCTAGCATATGCAGACAATCGACATCCTTGCTGAAGCAAACACAACTCGGCAGACAGCTTTGGCTTTTCACTTGAAGACTGGGCAAACCGAGCGGAGCAGAGCACCTAACATGGCCAAAGATGTTGGCGGAAAACTCGCAACTCGAAACTCGCGAACAATAAAATGCAAATAAAATTATATCAAAAGTAATTTGGATTTTTTTTTGGAGCGTTTGGTTTTTTGTAATTTGCTGTTGTTTTCGACTGTGCACTGGCAAAGAATGAATATGGCGTGACAGACGCTTGATGACAGCCGCTAAAAGCAGCAGGGGATTCTGCCATTGAAGTTAGGGGTATGCCAGGCGCATTTAATTTTGCAGTAGCCGAACCAAAGGACCAAAAAGGAGCAAAGTCAAAGCCAACGCCAACGCAGCTGCCAAGTTCATTTGTCTGTCTTGTCTGCGTTGGATGTCTTCTGTTTTTTATGAGCTATTTTTTCTTCATTTAATACAATTGTTGCGTACTTCCTTTATTTTTTTGTTGCCTGCCTTATTAATGGGCCAACAACAATGCAAAGATACAAATGTATCTCTTGGCTTTGTCTGCACGCTTGTGGCAAGCCCCCCGCTAAGGTTTATGAGCGCGACTTATTAAAAGTTTGCGCCAGTCTCTCTTTTATTACTTTATTTGCGTTTTTAATCAGCGTTTTGAGTAATTGCGAAACGAGAAAAAAATTGCCAACTTGCCAAAGTAGCCGGGAAATGGAAAAGCCATTTTCCTTTTAGCGGTTGGTAAGCAGCTTATTTGGATTTCAATTATTTGCATATTTAAATGAAAGACTTAATTGCATAATAATTTTTAATTGCAATTAAGAGAGATTTGCTTTGCCAATGTATATTAAATATTTAATTAGCTTATCCTAAATATTTAAAATTTGAGAAAATTGCATAAAATGCAATTAAATACAATTTTTTGAATAGTAGTTGTATTTAAAACATTAGTCAACCTAAAAGCTTATAAAACATTCATTTGTCAAGGAACCAATAATGACAGGAGCTTAAAGTCTAAACATAAACATAAAAATGGTTTTAACAGATAATACGTAACACTTAATGTTGCACATCAATTTTAACGTCCAAGAGTCGCTTCAATCTGCGGCGTGTGGTATTAGTAGTTGGCTAGTGTGCCAGCCAAAGAATTGACATGGTTATGCAACCAATGTAACTCGTTTGTCGATTTATTTCTTTCATAATTGTTGAAAGGCCGAAGTCATTGTGCAACGTCCTATTGCCGACATACTGTAAAGCACTAGAGATGTCTCTGATCACCTTGTTCTGCAAAACTTTAAATAGGTTTACCCAAGGTTTTGCAGCTGAGCCCGCAAATGAAATCCCGTATCATGCACGATGATGCTCCTGTGCACCAGCAGCTTGTTGCTCATGCTGAGCTTGCTGGATGGCTTCAGCATCCAGTTGAGTTTTGCCCTTTTGGATGTACACGCTGTCACCGTGATCTGAATGTGTTTGCGCCAGGTAAGTTTTCTGTCGGGATACATACCCAGGTGTCGGACATGACGCTCCTGAGGTGTGACCATGTTGTTGAGTCGGACGGCTGGACACTTATCATTTCTGAGCGCAAACTTGCTCCCATTGACGCAGATGGTCTACCGGTTGGCCCACAAACTAAAACCATTCAAGAACCTCTGTGTAGCCGCAGTTGCTCTCCAAGCAGAGGTGGAGTTGGCAAGCAGCGTATTTATGGATACTATAATTTGCAAGTCCGCGGTGTACAAGGTCCAAAGGCACTACCCTGTGGTACAGCGCTCCAATGCGGAGGATGTTTGATCGCTCGCCCCCAACTTCGACTATACAGCGATCAAACGCTTGTTGAATATCCAGGAAGACGATATATACAGCGCGTATTGCATATTTTCCAAAGCCTTGAGGACATACTGTACTACTCGATGAACTTGCTCTGGTGAACCATGGTGATTCCGAAAGCCAAACTGATGATCAGGAACGACACTCTGTAAGCCACTTTCTGCCGACAGCCTTCCAAGAAATATTTTTTCAAATATTTTGAAGAAAGTGGACAGCAAGCTTATCGGTCGAAATGACGAGACAAGATTATCCGGCTTGCCAGGTTTCGGAAGGGGCTTTACTGAACTTCAGCCTGAGAGTCTGCATGCGGACTTCATTAGGGGCGATAGGTGTGATCGGTTGTACGGGATCGAGATCAGCATTTAAAAATGCCTTAGTATCCTGTACCTGGCTGGGTGATGTAAGCGCAAAAGACGTGAGCCGGCCTTGCAGCTCATCCGCAAATGCTGATGCAATCTCTGCATCCGGTCGACACCAAGTGTTATCTGGTCGCACGATGGCGATCCTCTTGTAGCAAGTAATTGGAGGTTGGAGTGCCCCATGCAAGCCGCAAGTGCAATCCCACGACGAGTGTCCAACTGCTGCACCCTCATTGGCGTTATTCGCAAGGCTATTGGCGTTCCACACGCCAACTCGCATCCCAATTTGGCTCATCAATTGGCAAGTGCAGCGTGCGAAATGCTCATCATGGCCATAAGTGTCGCACTCAACGTGTCGAACTTTGACATTAGACTGCCAAACTGGTGGTGGGAGTGCTCATGGTAGAGATGTGGGTGTTGTACTACCTGAAATTGCTGCTGTAGGGGCTGTTGATGTTGCTGGCGCTGTGGCTGCTGGTGTTGTTGTTAATGCCGTAGTTGCTGTTGATGGTGTTGCAGTATGTGCTCTTGCTGTTGGTGTTGCTGCTAGTGGCGTTGGTGCGAATGTTTCTGTTGTGGCTGTGACTGCTCTGGGTGCCTAAGAATCTGGCGAACTTTGTGTTGGCGCGTTTTTCCTCTCCGCTGTTGCTCAACGACCTGTGGTGTAACTTGCTGAAGCGGCAAAAGCTGTTGTTGCGGCTGCTGGCGATGCTGATGTTGTGGCTGTTATTGATGATAAAGCTGCCTCTGTTGCTGTTGCCCAAGTTGCTGCAGGAACTCAGCCGTTTGAAGTGTGGCAGCATCAGCATATGAAAAATTTTCACTGTGTATGGTTGCCGGGATTCCGTGAGTCTTGAGTCCCATTTCCTGGCAACGATGGAACTGTCCATATGACTGTCAGGGTATTCGAATGAAATGCGCACCTGAGATATGGAGCGTAGATTGTATATTTTTGTATTGCTGGCAGCCGGCTCCAACTCCAAATAACAGAGATTCAGCTCATTCTTGCAGATGCAGCTTACAATGGCTTGGACACCACGCACTGCGTGCCCAAGTCTGCCACTCATCTGTAAGGCACTCAGTTTTCTTCTGCGATGGATGCAGTCCCCTGATCACCAAGGGGAAACCTCTATCCTCCTTTAATTGATACGAATGAAACGGGATTCGCTTAACCGTAAACAACCTTTGGATTACCCTGTACGGATCAATACTATTTGGCATCACTCTGACAGTACCACCACCACATAAACTTGTCAGGCGGCGTGACAGTTGGTGATACGCTCCGCTATAAGTGGGAGAGGCTTAGAAGGCCTTGTTGGCCGAATTTCTCAGCGACAACGCTTAGATTGGGGTCCTCATCGTGAGTAACTTGGTTACGATTGGACACTCTCGGCGGATACGTTGGCGAACTAGGCACCATCTCTTCCATGTCAATTGATCGATATCTGCGTCAGAATCTGACAGCAGATCTGGGAGCCCTTGTGGTGCTGCATGAGCACCATCAGAAGTAGATGGCTCTGCAGCGGCGGTGTTCTTGTTGATGTAATAATATTGTAGCAGTTGGGATTGTTAGCATTTGCCTTTATTAATGCGTTGTTGGTGATGTTGTTGTTGCTGCTGTTGCTGCTTGCCGAGCGAGAGCTCAGATTATAGCGAGCACCAAGGAACTGCAGTATCTGGCGCAGTGGCGTCATGGATAGTGCTGCTCATATTGATTAAATAGGCGGGCACCAAGCACATGCACTCTAGCAGAGTGGTGGCGGCACACGCACAAATCACACTGATTGAAGGGATGCGGCGGGGAACCGATTATTTGAGTACAACATATATTAAATAGATTGAAATTTGTAACAAAAATAATGACCAGTGACTTGATTAAATATAAATTAAAAAAGCTATAAGCACATTTAATGTAAATTTTGCATTATTTGAGCAGCTTCGACGTCATGAAAATGTAATTCAATTAGTGTTTGAAGGCCAATTAAAATGACTTATCAAATTTATTTGATTCAATCAAAATAAAATGTTCATTAAAATGAATCATTTTGCAATTTAGTTACGACCAGAGATAATCAAGAGATATAGCTAAAGCTACTTAGGTACGCTGTTTATGGCTTACGACTTGCGAGATTCAAAAGTATCTTTCGCAATGACATGCATATTTATGAGCCCGCTTTTTGTCTTCCATTTCAGTTCGCGCAATCACATCGTTAAAAATGCTGTAAAAATATTTACTGCAGTTTCTGGGTGCGCAGACAAAAATGAAAAAAATAAAAGGGTTTGGCGGCAACTTCATTAATTTATCAACGTTGTAATGTAAAATTATTTTAATGTCGCAGTTTGTATAAATCGTCAAGATAAGTAAATGCCAAGAGCAGCATAAAAAATGTATCTGACAGATACTTTTACAGCAACTCATGCAAATCACGCCTCAGACAAGCTGTAACTGCGCTTGGCCTACCGCGTGGGCGGTTTGCCATAAAAAAGCCATAAAGAAATGTAAAAATATACATTTATTAGTCTCTCTGGCTGCATAGCATATTGTTTTTTATATACCAATTTTAGTTAAAGGCAAACTTATTTTCTTGCTTATTACAGGCAAATACCGCCCGCTTATGGAAAGGTCAATGGCGGAACTGCCATTCCGCTGCCCGCAACTGTTATGGTCCAGCGTCGCTGCCCCCCGGACAAGGTGCGCCCCCTGCCACCAACGCCGAATCATACGCCATGTAAGTGAATATTGTTTTCAGAGGGTTTGGGAAAGTATTATTAAAAATGTGCTTTAAAGCCACCCGTTTTAGTGGTGGCTTTTTTGGGGCACGGCTGCAGCCCCGTTTTTGTTTACTGTACTCGGAACCCGAAACAAACAAATTTCAGTCCATCGTCAAACAAACAACCCCCAGCGGGGGATGCCAATGCACTTAGCCAGGTCCGAGATTTGTCGTTAAAAGGGGTAACAATATAGACATGGCTCGTGTGCTGCCACATCATCAAAGCACTCCTGGGAATCCCTTTGTGGGGCTCTCGAGTTCGTCGTATGGGGCGCGTGCTATTCAAAAACAGCCTCATTGCTCATATATTTCGTTGCACTTGATTTGCTGAAGCTGGAACATTTTGTAATTAATGCCTGTGGCGGTGATTTGAGGTCTTAAATGGGCCCCTTGTTGAACGCCAGTTGGGAATAGCTGTTGCAGTAAATGGAACTGGAACATAATTCTAAAGTAGATAAATATGACATTAGTAAAGAGTAAATGAAGTAAAACAAAACCATTCACATCTAAAAAGACATCATGAAACAAACAATAATAGAGACGTATTCATTATTTGAAACTCAAAACTGAACGCCAGCATTTGTAATTAGCTGGAACTAAGCTCCAACTAGCGCTCCTTGGGATAGATTTGACTTCTTGGAGTAATTAACAATGTAAACACTTTCAATAATGATTGAATTGGTTTTCGGTTTTAATAAATCTGCAAAAGACTCGGCTGCTTGAACCGACATTTAGAATTGACAATAGCACTTCGAGTCGATAGATTATGGTAGAAAAAATAATAAAATTAGTGAAATAACAACAAATAATGACAATTTTGTGCTATTTGAGTGCTAAAAAATTACAGCACTTTTAATTTTATCGCATGTAAAGTCGAGATATAAGATTTATGTGACAGTGCGTGAGACCCTCATATATACAACTGCCAGTCTGCCCCCTACTATATACTCCCTCTGGACAGACGCACAGCAATTAATTAAGTTTAATGTCCGCTTGGCCTTAAGCATTGATTTATTGGCAGCGCCTCCCTTCCCCCACTCGACATATGCGTCTCAGCATCAGCTGACAGCCAGCGGACATCTTCAAGTGGGCACCAAATCATTGAACTCCTCTCTCTCTCTTTTCTTTTTTCACGCTCTCTACAGCCATACCTGGTCTGGGCAAGAGCGGCAGTGATTTCAATACGAGCCGTCCCAACAGTCCGCCCACCAGTAATCACACCATACAGAGTCTGAAGAGCGGCAACAACAACAGGTAATCATGAGAATATCCTCGACTGGTTGCAAACTGTGACTGACAAGGGCTTGTTCTTGTTTGGTATTTTTTTTGCAGCCTGCGTCCGCCTAGTGTGAAGAGTAATCACCAGAGCGGCATTCCCTCGCCGAGCAGCTTGAATGCGCCCACGATTTCGGCACCGCAGAAGCACTCAATGCTGGACAAGCTGAAGCTCTTCAACAAGGAGAAGCAACAGAATGCGGCAAATGCAGCCGCTGTCGCCTCGAATAAAACGCAAATCCAGTCGAAGCGCACTTCATCCTCCTCGGGCTTCAGTTCGGCGCGCTCCGAGCGCTCCGACTCCAGCCTGAGTCTGAATGATGGCCACAACTCGCAGCTGAAGCCGCCCAGCATTAGTGTCAGTGCTCAACAGAAGAGCCAACAGAAGCACAATACCAAGCAGTCGAAGCTGCTCGCTGCACAGCAAAAGAAGGATCAATCCAAAGCAGTTGCGGCGGCTGCTGCTGCTGCCAAGAAGGAGAAGAGTCCTGCCCGCTCGCTGCACAAGGAGGAACTGCAGCAGCAGTCGGGCAACGAATCACGCAGCTCCACCATGGGAAGAGCTGTCAAGAGTTCCTTAACACGCGGCTCCGCTGAGAAGACGTCATCCAAATCGTCGCTGCACTCCAAAACCGACTCGCTTAAGAGTCAAAGTCAGCAGCAGCAGCAGCAGCAGCAGCAACTGCTCCATAGTCCCAGCGGCACAGCTCTGCCCAAACCAATTGCAGCCATTAAGGGCACCAGCAAGTTGCCCCAATTGGGCTCCAGCTGCAGCTCCAACTCGGAGCTGTTCAAGCGTGAAACTAGCGACATATCCACTAATTCAAGCAACCAGGCAAACATATCCCAACAGCAACAGCAGCAACAATCAACTGCCAACACACATATCCTCAAGGCCTTGCCTTCAACACCACCACCTCCATACTACGCCAATGCACCGCCAACTCCTCCTCCTCCTACAGCTTCACACATATCAGCCACTTACTCCAACAGCGTCTCGGGCTACCTCAGCGAACCCAGCACGCCACAACATGGCCACAGCCTCTACAGCAGCAGCAGCGGCAGCCGTTTGCCCCCACCGAAATCCGCTTTGGGTGGTTCTGCACCACGCAAACTGGAGTATAATGCGGGACCACATATTTTAGGTGCGCCACCGCGTTCCCCGTTGCAGCGTGTACCCATGCAACACAATTCGGCACCGAATACGCCCACCGCCTCGCCCAGCAAGTTTCATACGATACCTTCGAAGATTGTGGGCACCATTTACGAGTCCAAAGAGGAGCAGTTGCCATCTGCTGCTGCTGCCGCCTCCTCCTCATCCTGTTCCTCTTCGGTGCTGCCCATGCGTCCGCTGCTGCGCGGCTACAATTCTCATGTGACATTGCCCACGCGTGGTGCACGAGGTGGACAGCCGCATCATCATCCGCATCCGCATCCGCATCCACATCAATCCTACCTGGAGTTCTGCGAATCGGACATCGGTCAAGGCTACTGCAGCGATGGCGATGCCTTGCGCGTGGGCAACTCCACTTCGGGCAGTCGCTATCATCACGACATCGACAATGGATATCTATCGGAGGGCAGCAGTGGCCTAAGCACCGCGGCTGGATCAGCGATTGGTGTTTCGCATGGCAAACATTTTCTCAGCATGATGCGAGCCAGAACCCAGCTGCCAACAACCATTGAAGAGCGGTAAGTCTTTAACTTCTTATATATGGTGAGGGTAAATTTCGAGATCGTAGAAGTAATATTTATAAAAATGATACTCGATTTAGGGCTGCGTTTCTAATATTTCGAAATATTAAATTTTATATTTCAGGCCAGATTTCATAATTTTATACACATCTTCAACCAAAAAGTACTTCACATAAAATTCGGTAAAGCTTTAGCAAAGTTAAGCAAGTACAGATTCAAAAATATGCAGAAGTTTCGCATTTATTCTGGATGCAATAACCATTATTAATTGTTCACATTTTTGTGCGCATATCTGGGTGCTCTCGTTTCCCGTTATCCATGTTATGTGCCATGAGTCATTTGCGTCCAGCTCCTACGCAGCTGAAATCAATGAGTCATCGGACAATTACCATTTGTATCGTTTCGATTGACTTCCGAGAAGTTGTTGTCGCCTGCTGTGTGTGCTGGTGTCGTCAAATGTTGCGTGTTGCGTGTGGTGGCTATAAAAGGCACTTAAGCGAGAGCAAAGCAGGCGGCTTTAGGCTTCTCTTTCAAGTTTGGCTTTGTGTTTAGGCCTGAGTGCAACGCAGTTGCCACGCACAATTTGGCCACGCTTTTGGTGTCAGGCGCAGCTGGTTGGGTCCTAAAGCAAGGGCCACTCGTCATTTGAAGAGCAGTTAATTGTTATGGCAGACACTTGAGGCACCTCAACAACTTCCTCCCGCAACGTAGTCTGTGGCGATGACAGACTGACTGCTCTTCAAAGCCAAAACCAGCGCTCAAATTGCCAATTTGCATAAAATCCACTTGATGTTGACTCCAGAGTCAGAGATCAGGTTTTCCCCGGTTCCAGGTTTTCTCTCCGGTGCAGAGAGGCTTGTCATACATCATTTGCAAATTGTCAACAGCAGCAAAACAGACGATGACAACTTGACAATTGACAATTGACAATGCTCACCTGTCACAGTGTAAACTCCTCCCTTCGCCCGCCTTCTACTTCGATAGATTGTTTGTGATTGCTTGTGGATATTGAGATACATTCAGGCGGTGGCATATAGCAACGGGGATAGAACACAGGACAAACGGACGAACACACTTTGCCACTTTGGCACTTCAGTTAACAAAGGTATCCACGGAAGATTGCTGTTAACAAGCGATTTGGTGTGTGCACCGAAATGTCTAAGCCTCAGAGTCTTTGACTGACTTTACTTTTTGAAATATGTGTTGCTAAAGGTGCTTTAAGGGAGATCTTAGAACTGTATTTTGCTATAACCATAACGTTCTGTTGAGTTTCGAGCAGCTTAAGGGATGTGGTACAACCAATGTGGTACAACTATTTATATAGATATGTTTACAATTAGCTACGACTTAAGGCAATTCGGTGCTAACCATTCTCGATTAGACTACGCTTATTTGTTATAAATAATATTATAATGAACTTTTCTCGCCCCGAACTGGGATGCTTTTAATGTCTAATTAAGTTTTCCACTTGCCGCTCTATTTGTTTGGCATTAACAGTCGAAATCGCTTTTGCTATAACATAATTTTTCTGTTTTTATTAAACACTTGTCAGACAACCGAACACACCCAAGACTCCATTGCTCCTCCTCCCGCCGCACATTTCAACACGCATTTCATTAAAAAGCGCTTATGGCAGTATAAGCTGTGGTGGGAGGAGGCGGGAGAGTGTGAGAGTGTAAGAGTGTAAGAGTGTGAGAGGGCTTTCCACATTTTCATTAGCTTCGGTCCATCAACGCGTTTGATCTGTGAAATTAATGCAATGCCATGAGGCGCAAATGTGGGAGCTACTCTTTCCCTCTTTGTCTCTGTCTCGAGTTCTCTATAAATAGCAACAGCTGTCGTCGCTGCGGGGTAAGAGGCGGAGGGAGTGCCACTTCAACAAGTGCAGGCTCATGGTTCAAGTTGCTGACCCTGTCGACTTTTGAGCCCGTTGGTCACGTAATGCAGCTGCAAAAAATGCTCAATAATTGAATTTTAATGCACCCTGCCTCTCCCTCCCAACCACTCCTCCAGTGCATTGTCGCATTAGTGTCGAGCTGAAGCTAATCAGTTGCGGCGTCGACACCTGCAGGACATAATTTTGAAGCCCAACAAGTGCAACGATGTCCTGGCATGCCAGCCGACAATCTCTGTTGGGAGCTCTACCAGTTGTCTGGCCATAAAAGTAAATCAAAATGCAGCAGGGCGCATATTTCAACAAGCAGGCCAACCGTGGCAGACAGTTAAGAACGAATTGCGGTTGTTGTTGTTGCTGATACTTGTAGGGGTTTGTGCCAACTGGACTTGGAGCACACATATGGCTAGCTGCCTAGCTGTCTAGCTGCCTGGCTGTCTGCCTAGCAGTCTGTCCTTGTGTCTGTTTTGTGTGTATGGCCGGCTGTCGTCTGCCGGCTGCCGGCTGCATCCTTGCTGCTTTTATTTAATAACGCATTTTTCAATTCATTTGATTTATGGCTCAGGCGTGAGACGCTACCATTTTCCAGATTGCCACTGCGAATGCAACATTTTTTTAAAGCTCGCTTTAAACTAGCCGTATTATTATCTGCCCCATCTACAATTTGGGGTTTTCCACATTATCGTAAAATTCGCTGACCACATTGGCGGCGAGCAAATTGAAAATAAATTTCGCACCCAGCAGCCCCGACATAATAAATACAAATTGTTTTTATTAATTTCATCAGACTCACTGAACCCGTAGGCCCTACTAAATATATGTCCGGCCTGTCCACCTGCCTGTGCCACCTTTTCTAAAAAGGGGCTGCCCACTCGAGTGTTCAATGACGTGACCCTTGTGCCAATCGCATTTGGATTTGCTTGCTCGCAGTGTTTTCCTCTCTTCTTGTTATTTTTTGGCTACTCTTTTTAGTGAAGCGTCGAGTGGTGTTTAATGAAGCGTCAATTTTGGGAACTGGCTTCTGGGAGTATTGATTCATTCACTTCGATATGTTTAAAAACATATTCTTTATTTGAGTTGACAGCCGTTTCAGTATTGTTGCCTTTCACCGACAGCTCAGTATTAAGTGGATTACTTATTGTGTAGATTGAATAAAGAATTTGTGAATAGAAAATAAAAAAAATAAAGTTAAAGTTACATTGAAAACCTTCGGAGTTGGGTATGAAAAGCCTTAAGTAATATAACAAATTTAACTCTTTAAACCCAAAGCTTAACCTTTTTCCCTTTCGGCTCAAAAGCTTCGCTACTGTGCACACAATGTGGAGCTTTTGTTGCACACAGAAAGCTCATCACGCCCACTTTATAGCATAGTCAAGACACGTTTAGCCAGGACACACAACCACAATGCCTTCGGATTTTTATAGTTAATTTGCACTCGAACCACAATAATGCATTAGGCAAATAATAAAATATCGAAAAATTGCGACAGTTGTTCAGTTGCAGCTCAATTATAAAAACAATCAGTTGCCGTTTTGTCATTCTTAATGGACATGAGTGAACTGCAACTGCAATTGATAAGTGCAACAAAACCTCGCAATTCCCTTGTCCTACCTCTATCGTTTCTATTGTTTCCTGGTGTGCACCCACGTTGCGGGCCGATTAAAAGCGGCTCAAAGCATGTGACGGGCATACGTAAGCCTTTAAGCCAGAAGTGACCTTTCCACATGCTGCCACACGTTCAACTAACTGGCATTCCTCAACGCCCACACATACACACAGACACACCGACACACACATACACAATTGCAGCAATAGTGTGACATGAACATGACAAGAGTCTTTGGCTGGACTTATGCTTAATCGTTTTCCAATAACTTTGCCATAGCCGGCAGATATTTTTTATGTAATTAATGTGCACTAAAGCTTTTAATTTATATACCCTAACTAATACTGAGTATTTTAGCTGAGAAGTATAAGTTGAAAACTGTGATGAATATGGAAGATCATTTTTCATTATTTTATAAACATTTTCTTAAATCAAATATAGTTACTTCGGAATAGATACACAGATTGAAAAGTCTTCATGTTTTTAGTTAATGTGATATTCGTGATTCCTAATTTGTTATATGTAAAAATAAAGATTAATACTTGATCTTCATTGGACTTGACTTAATATTGCAATATGAATACTGCCACGTGGGGTTCAGCATCGGCGGCTCTCTTTTATAATGTATTGGGGCAGTTCGATGGCTCGCTGATTGAGTGCCGCCGCCTTGAAGATTAATGAGTAATTGGGTAACCAGGCGCTGGGCGCACTTCAGTGTGGGACTGGCACTGGCAAGTGGCTCCAATTAGTTGAGTTGCCGAACAAAGACTTGTGCCACAGCCAATCAACAAGAACTAACAAATGCAACTACAAAATTGAGAGGAACTTGTTATCGGCTAGTTTCGCTTTTCATTGCGGCGGCCTCGTTGAATTTTCTTGCGTGCAGTTAGTTGATTTTATTTTTTTTGAAAATTGCAGCACAGACAACAAGAACTCGCCCGCCCTTGGCTCAATTTTTTATTTGGCTTTTTCTGAAACCGGGCAGCTGTCGAACATGCAGCTAGCTTGAGCAACTGATTGCATGGCAAACAACTGATGCCAAAGAGAGTTGCAACACGTTTCGAAATTGCTTCTCTCTCTTAAAATGCACAGCTGTCACCCTCTCTCTCTCTCTCTCTCTCTCTCTCTCTTTCCTTTCGCAATAGACATTTGTTGCTTTTGGCCAAGAGCAACCGTCACCACCCAACAACAAAAATAAAGAGAGTGAGTTGAGCGGCAAGTCTGTTGTATCCCGTGTGGGTGGAGTATGTTTGACAATTGTTGGAATAATATTACCTTATCGGCCAGCGGAGGAATGCTGTAGATGGCAGAAATCAAAATAAAAGTAAATATGAACTGAAATAAAGTGCACAGTTTTATGCTCACCAAATGAGCAAATAAAATACGCTAACATTTTTAAGAGATTTTTCGCCAGGTATAAAGGTAATGTTCAAGCTAAAAGGCATTTTACAAATGAAAAACTGAGCTTGTATCTGCCATGTGTGAGGAAATACAATT